GTGAAGGGGGAGAAGAAAGAAAGAGAAAAGGAGGGAAGGGAGGAAGGAAGGAAGGAAGGAAAGAAGGGAGGGAGGGAGGCAGGGAGGGAGGAAGGAAGGAAGGAAGGAAGGAAGGAAGGAAGGAAGGAAGGAAGGATAGGGAAAGGAATGAAGGAGGGAAGGAAGGAAGGAAAAGGAAGGAAAGGAAAGGAGGGAAGGAGGGAGGAAGATGGGAAGCTTCAATTAATCAACTCCTGCCAGAATAGCTAAAGCCGTAACTATAGGTCCATTGCACACAGCATTGCATTGCTTCATATGGAATATCTACCGACAACTTGAAAAAGGCTTGAAAAGAGTAGGGTGAACCTCAGTGAGTTAAAGGGAAAATTGGTTATGTTCATTAACATATGTGGCAAAGCTTGAAAGCCAGTTCTCATCAAGTAAGGTTCTATGCTACCTGTATATAATAACCTCATTCTAACAGAATCTCATTTCCAAGCTTTTTTACTCACCTTTTGAGATAGCTCTCCCACTGGTATAACTTAAAGAACAGGACTTCTCACTCCTGCCCCATCCAGATGCAGAGCCACTTAAAACCCTCGTTATTCTGCTCTCCATTTATTCTCTCTGGTTCTTGGTTTCCTCATTTGTAAAGACGGGATAGTAATAAAAGGAACCTCATTAAGTTGCCGGAATTAAATGAGATAATATATGTAAAATGTTGAGAAAACCTCTGGTATTTTGTAAGTCTTCCACAAGTGTTGTTCATGAAGAATACTAGCACGGGTGTTTCAGCCATTCTACTGCACTTATGCTTTCTTCACTTTTTGCAAAATCACACACTAAACATAACAGTGCTCGTTGGAAGAAAATAGTGTTAGGAGCTTTGGTACTTTTTAATAAGTACCTCAAAAGCCATGGTACTTTTTAATAAGGGCACTAACAAAAATGATAAGAATCCTGAAGATACAAAGATTGAGTTAAATCTCCACTAGGCTTTGCCCCCCAGATCTGTCAGTCTGCCCTTTGATGTCTCAAACCCTGGGACTCAAACTTCCCATGTGGAGATACAGGTCTTTAACAACAGCTACTTTGATAAAGGATAGTTACATCCAAAATAAAACTATGACTCAGAAGTGTGTTCTTTTGTTGTTGTTATTGTCTTGTTTTAACACAGGAAAATCTCTTCCCAGGTTCTTAATCTGCACTTTCAGTTTCTTCAGGTGGTTTCACCTAGTGCACAATATAGCAAGGATTACAGGCCATTAAGCCCGCCACTTTCTTGAACTAAAGGAAGATATTCAGAGACTTTAAAGCGTTTTTTTCCCCCCAAACTCTTCAAATATTAAAGTTTTGTTTTATTTAACTGTGAAAAAGCTTACACGGTTGATTGCTTTGGACAATGAACACACTGAGAAAAACCACGTTTGGTCCAATTTGTTTTCTGTGTTATGCTGATATCACTCCCCTAATTACCAATTGCATAGGAGTTGATTTGCATTTAAAAACACATGTTGTAGCAGAACAGAGTGTAGATGTGATTTTTAAAAATCCAGAGGATTTGATAATTGTGCTATGATAAACAGAACCTTAGCAATCTAACTCCCCGCCATTCTTTTCCAAAAGTGACTTGAGCCCAATTATTAAGGGCTAAAAAAAGCTGATTGTGTTCGAAGTTTGGAATAGTGTGAGCGTTGGTGCACCCTGGTGGTAAGCAAAGACGGTCAGACTTGTTGTATTTGGCTAATACATTAACCAGAGAAAGCAGCTCTACTGTTTAAACTCCTTTTATATCTCAGCCAGTAATAAACAAACAAATAAAACTCAGCCCTGAGCTTTCTCACAGGACGTTCTTTTTTTGGTGTTTTTTTCCCTTCCATTGGTCATTACTTATTGCCTATATTTTTTTCTTTTCTCATTTCTCCTTCAAGACAGGTGGAAAGGAAGTCTACCATTGTTCTAACAGCAGGAGCTATTTTCCTGAAGGATTTTAGACCCTTGCTCCTCTGAGGGGGAGTAATGGGAATGTGATATCACAACAAGCAGTGACCCTCCAATGGCTTGCGGACCCTTTACAGACAACTGATGCTCCTACAGACTGCTTGGCACATTCACTTCTCCTGCTCTTCACTGGGAGATAGTATCACCAGATAAAACAGAAATCACAACTATTGTGGATAAGGCATCAACTGCTGTGCCAGCAACAAGATAATGAGCGTTGTTATGTTTTCGGGATTCGTTCTACTATCTACGAGGCATGTCTTCACACTCTAAAGATCCCAGTGGTAGAAAAATCACAATACAAAACCTAGCTCACTTTGCTCCATCTCCTCATGGCACCAGGCTATACAAGTTCGCTTAAAGGGTAAAGTTTTCTGAAATTTTGCATCCAATCTTTGAATACGTGTATAGTAATTAGACAAAGTAGGTACTTGCTGAGCTGTAGGTTGGCAAAGTCCATGGAACATTAGCAATGTCATTTGTGATCAGTAAAGAAACAGAAGGCAACAGATCTCAGAAGAATACAGTGTTGAATTCCTCCTCAAATTAGGAGAAATATGAGAAGGGTGTCCTGTTTGGGAATGTTTTGAATCCCCTCATCCTGGCAGCCATCTCCCATGCCTCACCAGTTGATAGGAGAAGTCATCAGTTTCTATCATATTTCATTTGCCTTATTTCACACACTCTGTAGCCTCCGAGTCCTAATAAGAGCGTCTACACTCTGGCCATGCATCCTCTGAGACTGCCTTCTTTCTGAGGTCAGTGATAATTGTCAAATCCAGTGGATAAAACCAGGTGCTCATGCGCTGAGCTCTACTACATTTGGCCTGATTGTCCGAACCAACTCGTTCCTCTCAGAATTGGTCTCCCCATGGCTGTCAGGGGTCTCTACCTATACCTCTCTCCCTCTCACTTCCATTCTGCCTGCCCGCTCCTTCATTCCTGCCTCTCTCAGTATGACCTCTCTTTTTTTAATGCACAGACTCCGTAAAGCCTGTCGCATTGGCTGGTGCCCTGTAGAATTAACTTGCTTATGGCTCTGGCTTGCCATGGGGTCCAAGGTGACCCCATGTCTACATGACTGTTTGGTCACACTACTATATGCCAAGGCATAGTCTCCAATCATATGTCTTAAGGCATATGATTCTATAAGTTAGAGAATCTGCTTGATCACAATCAAACCAAAGGATGAACTGACGTTAGGCCGGGTATACGCCTCTCGTCTAATCAGTTGTGGACGGTGGTGGGCATGCTACCCACTCAGCAGGTCTCATAGGGAGCACTGGGCGAAGGTCAGTTGTGACTTCATGGCATAAGAGCTTGTCACTCTGTGCCCCCACCCCATCTTTACCACAATCCATTACTTACCCCTGTTAGTTCCCTGCCCTCTCCTATCAATTTTTGGCTACATCTGCCGTGGAAGTTTTGCCATTTTTCTTCACTTTTTGCTACATTCTCTCTGCCTGAAATGCCCTTTACCATTTCTTTGTCTGCAAAATTTATTAACACCCAACATCACCCTCTCTGGAACTTGCAGCTTCTTTGGCAGGTTCTGCTGCTCATCTCTGAGTTCCCATTTTGCTTCATGCTTCCTTCTATTTTAGCACTTACTCTATCCATGGGCCATGTTTAGTACTAAACTTGTCTTCCCAGTAGAATTCTTGCCCCTTGAGGTACAAGTCTACCTCTTAGTCATCATAGCTTCCTCACCAGCACTTAGGATCATGTCAGAAATGAAGTAGGGATTCAGTAAAGGTTTTTTGAAGGAATTCATACATAAGTGAATAAGGCGTTAGGAGTGAAGGTGGAAATAGTAAATCAGGGATTAATAAAAGGAAATGATAGTACTCATTCTACAAATGGGTGTCATTCTCTCAGAATGCTTTTTGCCAAACACATACACCTGTGCTAGGCAAATTTTTACTGTTTCAATTGATTTCTCTATAAAAGGTAAGGCTACATTTATGGGAAAAGAAATTGATACTATAGCTTATATATCATGGATCCTATTAAAATGAACTTCTTTGCTATAAAATAAACCATAGCTTTTCTTAATGTTGACATCCGGGGGAAATTCTTACTGTAGCAATATTTCAAATTGGCAGCACTATTGAATCTTTCTAACCTGTGTTAATCTGAGATAAGAGTAGGAGATAAGAAAAGAGTTCCTTTTATATAAAATGTAGAATTATATAACTTTTAAACAAAGAATTCAGCTACTCATCACTGCAAATAAACAACCCTAAATTAAGTGGCCTAAAATAACAGTGTTTTATTATGTTTCCAGATTTTATTAACCACAAATTCAAGTAGGACTCAGCTGTATGATTCTTTTGCTTCATGGGTCATCCACTGTGGTTACTTTATGATATTTAGCTAGAAGCTGAGCTGTTCAGGACAGTTCAAGACAGCTTTCTGCCATGTCTGATGACTAGATGGGGATACTAGAAGCCTGAGCTCAGAAGGGCTCCTCTCTCATCTTAGTCTGAGGACCTCTTCAGCACTGAAGCTGAACTTTATGTATAGCAGCTCCAGGCTCCAAGACACCAAGGCAAGCCACCATCGTCCCAAAGATCAGGGCCAGAACTGATGGAGTATCACTCTCTTGGTGCTCTTTTGGTCAAAACAGTATTAGGCTGGGAAAGATTCAAGAGGTGGAGAAATAGGGGTGCCTGGGTGGCTCAGTCAGTTAAGTGACTGACTCTTGATTTCAGCTCAGGTCATGATCTCATGGTATGTGAGATCAAGCCCCATGTTGGACTTTGTGCTGTCAACACAGAGCCCACTTGGGATTCTCTCTCTCCCTCTCTTTGCCTCTCCCCAGCTCATGCTCTTTCTCACTCTCAAAATAAATTTAAAACATTAAAAAAATAGTGTGGTCAAATATACTTCATCCTTTGATGGCATGTGATATAGGCAAAGAAGAAATAAAGGTGGACAGCTACTACAGAAATATAACTTGATTACTTTTTTATCATGCTGTATTATCTTTAAATAAAAATGTCTTCTAATCACATCATCTAGAGACCATTTGGTTTCATTGCCAGTCTCTTTTCTCTTTCTTCAGCAATGGTGAGGCAGATACCCTTTCCAGAGGAAAGAGAATTCCGTGGTTTGTTGTCTTTGTCAATAACAAAAATGTTGGACAGCTGGATGACAAAGTTACTGCCATTGGCATCTTTCACATGAACTACATCAAAAGAACTAGGGTACCTCTCTCTGCTGATGATCATGCCAATTCTTCCTAGGTTAATACTTCCAGTCACCATACACAGATTATCAATGTCAAACTTGATGAAGTCAGTAATCTTTCCTGTCTCCTGATCAATCTGAATGGTGTCAGTCACATTGATGAAGGGATCAGAATAGTGGATGATGCAAGCATCATGGATCACTAGATGAGGAATTCCTTTTGTCCCCACAGAGACCTTTCTCCCTTTGTGCAATTTATACTTGGCCTCTTCAGGTGTAATCCAATGAACAGCAAAGTGACCCTTGCTGTAGCAGATCAGATGGAAATTCTCCCCAGTTTTGTCTGTACTGACGACATCCATAAAACCAGCAGGGTAGGTTATATCAGTTCCAACCTGGCCATCAATATTAATAAAACACTGCATACAGACCTTCTTTACCTCATCTCCTGTTAGGGCATACTTAAATCTGTTCTTCAAGAAAATGATGAGAGGGAGACATTCTCTCGATTTATGGGGACCAGTAGATGGACGAGAAGCAAATACGCTGGTCAGTTCATCTGACATACAATGCTGAGCCCACTACATGCTTCACATGTTTCTTGAGACAATGAGCCATGGCTGTGCTGGGCACAAAAAGATAACTTTATTACTTTTAAGAAGATAATTTGATTCACATTTAAATTGATCAATGAATAGTTATCAAATATTTATTGTGTGCCTTGTTCTCCATTTAATTTTATTTGGTCATCCTTAAAGTCCTTAAAAGGCCTATTTTCATGGACAAGATGCCATTGCTAATGATGTCTTTTGAAAAAAAACTGTCTCAATTTGGCCTTAAAAAAGAACCAGCCCTCCCTGGATTGGGGCTCGGAAAAAGCAGAAGCTCCCATCTCACTACTTGTGTGACTTCAGGTAGCTTAGCAGAACCTTTCAAGATTTCTGTTTCTTAATCTGCAAATTTATTTAATTAGTCTTTACTTAGTATCTACTTGCTATCTGTACTGGTCTAACTACTGATGATACAAAGAAACATGAGACTATTTATTCCCTTGAAGAATGCACAAGGTAAGGGGCACATTCACAAATAATTATTGTGCAGTTTTGCAACAGTTGGTACTGATTGCTAAGGTCTATTTTATATCTAAATTTATGTGACCCTATGAGTTTTAATTAACTTATAAATAAGTTATATGTAAATAGGTATCTTTGAAGAATTTATTCTTTTGGGGCACCTGGGTGGCTCAGTTGGTTGAGCAGCAAACCGTTGGTTTCTGCTCAGGCACTGACCCCAGGGCTGTGGGATCAAGCCCCACATTGGGCTTCGCACTGTGTGTAGTCTGCTTAATATTCTCTCACTCTCCCTCTTCCCCATACCCCGCTCACATGTTCTCTCTCTCTCATAAAATAAAATTATATTAAAAAAGAATTTATTCTCTTAAGGATTTCAAATATGCATCTGTGTAACGTATTTACATTATTAATTTGTAATTAACTGCATTTTAATGTCTTCTTTCAGAGTCATAAGGCTCTAAGACTGAAAGTGGTTAGGAATGCATCCACTCCAATTTCCTTTTCTATACATAAGGAATCTGGGAAACAGAGAGGCCAAGGGACTTGCTTTATATCACACAGCTTGTTACTGGCAAAGGCAGGCCAGGACAACATGTTCCAGCTTTCACAGAACTGCTTGCCTAAAAGGACATTTTAGTCCTACATCTCTCTTCTCAACTGAAGTGTTAAATTCCAGAACTCTATCAAATTTATTGCATTTTGTTTATCTTCTCCAGAACTCTTGTGCTGTTTTGATAAAAAGAACCTTAATCTGTCTACTTCACTACTTCTGGAGATTATACAGTAATAGTTGACACATACTTCCTTGGCCACGGAGGAAGACTAACTACATAAACACTAAGACATACTGTTACAAGCTCTATTTCCATTTGCTATACATACAGTTCCTAACTTGAGTGAGATTAAAAAACACAGTTGTTCACAAATACAAAAATTTCTTTATTATTCAAACCATGAGACTATCCTAAGTTTTTATTACTCATAATCAACAAAACATGTACTAGAGACATGGTTTTCTTTCACTGAGTTGTCAGGAGGAAGCATAGATTTCCAGAATATTGGCACCAGGAGGAGGATCCTAAAATACTCCTAAATCAATCTCCACATTTTACAAATGTGAAAGGTGAAACTGAGGGGTCAGCAACCTTTCCTAAGGTTCCAAACAGTCTTACCCAAACTAAACCAGAATCCAGTTTTCTGATTCCCAGGCAGTGCCCACGTCTAAATGAAAGAGCTTTGCTGGAACATTCTCAGAAAATTGTATTCTCATTTTTGATAATGAAAGGATGCAATTAAAGCTATTCTCCTCCAAAAAGATGTGCTGATATTTTGCTATACATCAGAGAAAAGCTTCCAAAGTCTCTCCTGCTCTCATTCACAAAGATATTTTCTCCTCAAGCCATTGAATTGGCCTACAAAGATACGTTTGGATAATCAGTAAACATTCAATTTGTCTTAATGAAAGTCAGACAAAAGGGATGAGACTTCCATGTTTGCCCCAGTGATTTTTATTGATGTCAAAATGGTTTGCTATGAAAATTCTTTGAGCCATTGTTTTCTGCCCACAGATGTTTTCCTCAAAAATTTCCAAGTTAAGGAAAGATGTGTGTAGACATGCTATGAGCCAGAACAGAGAACAGAACAGAAACAGCCACCCATCATAGCAGTGCTGAGTGCATTGGTGCTCTGTGGTTGTACATCCGTCTTTCTGCTATTTCTCTTCCTTTAGCCCCAAAGACCATGACATCTTCCTGTCTGAGTTTTCTCTTCATCTCTGTTCATGCTTCCCTCCAAACATCTACTCCCTATCTTACTGTGGTCTTTCTTGTGGTTTTCTTTTTTCTGCAGGTATGGGTACAAATCTATTTGAAGACAGGACAATGTTCAGGCACCGTAAGTATTTAGGTCACATAAACAAATCATCTGAGAGAAAGAATGGATATTTTACTTTTATTCTTTATGTATTGATGTTATCTAGACTTAGCTTTGCTCCACCTGTATTTAGAGTTGAATAAGAAGCCTTTAGTTTACTTTAAAAATAGGCCCCCACTGAGCAGACTCACCTCTTTTGATCTAATTATGAAGAAAACACCTAGACCTTTTAAAAATATTCCGATTCTGACTCCCAGACAGACTGTTATTGAATTAGATCTGACCTTTGGGGTACAAACCCTTTAGGCGATTCACTTACTCTTTTCAGTGGGATTTGCTGATATTTTCCTCTGGTTCTAATGTAGCTTAAAGTACTGTCTTTAAGTCAGCTTTTAAAAAATTAGAGGGAAGGCAAAAAGCTAGCCTCAAGGCATAGGCAAACAGTCCAGATTCATCGCTTTGGCAGGCTGAGAAATCTCCATTTGGCTGTAGCAGCAAGCCTAATGAGAAGAAAGCCATTAATTAAATAAACAAAACATTGCAGTTTGGTCAGAGGAACAATATAGGTAGCAGGGCATTAGCCCTTTCCAAGTCCTTTCTAGGAGAGAATTACATGTGTTCTAAGGAGCTGGTTTTGTTTAACCTACCCCAATTCCTTCCAGAGTAAGAACTTCAGAGTATATGCTTGCGGATAATCAAGCTTCTCATATACTTTGGCTTTATCTTAGAGGCTAAAGTTAAGTGTAACACCTTGGCTGCGTCCCTTCCACATGATTGGAGATGAAAAGATAGAACTATCCCAATCTCCAGGTTTTAGGAGTCACATCTAGAACAATCCTCTTGGTTCTTTTCTTAGATGACTTCACTTGTTGGCTCCTATACGCTTGGTATCTTGTGACCTACCCTGGAAAACTGGGACTATCCCCACTCTGGGTCCTGTCTTCTCTCCACTGCACTAGCCATGGTGGAGACGGATGATGTAAAAAGGCTTGAGTGCTGTTCTTTCTCTATTATCTGGTCCCTAGCACAGCTGTGGTACCTCACTGGAACCTGGCCTAATGGTTTTATGCAGTCAGATAATTATTCACAGGACTTATCTTCATTGAGCACATGCTGGGGAGAAAAATAATAGCAGGAGACAGGAAGCATTATCTGCCTCAGATTCAAAATTGGCTTCCAGTGACTTGATTCTGGTTTATGTTATGAAAGGGAAATGAAGAGTCTGCCTGTCCATGCTGTGAATGCTTCTGCTGAGCCCCTTACCCCATAACTTCACAAGCGTACATTAGAAAACATAGGTGTTTCACACCGTTTTCCAGTAATGGGGTTGAATCACAGATCCATCTATGTTGCTCCTGTCGGTCCCTGTTGGGAAACATGGCACATATTTGTGCCATGGTATTGGGGGAGGGGTGTCCTGTTTGTATTTGAGTTTCTGTGTTGTGGCCCCAGGTGACCTTTGCTGAACATGGGAATATACCCTGAAGGTAGGAACACTGACCCACTGACCCCTAATGAGCATGGTAACAGTTTGGTGAAAATTAAGTAGCTTGAATCCAAAACCATCCAGATTTTGATAGAGGAGAAAATTAAGAAAAACTTCTTGGAAGTTCGGATTTTTATAGGTTGTAAAAATAAAGACACTATACACAGAGGAACAAGAGCTGGGTCCCCAAATGATGCTTAGAGAGAAACAGCCAGGAGGTCTGGGAGGAGGGGAGCCACAGGGAAAACTGGGGGGCAGGAGGAGGGTGGTTGGTGATGAGAAATAAGAAAGACAGCACCAAAGGCAAACCTTGAGCCAAGCTCACCTTTGATTTGAAAGTTTGACTTGAACTTTGAGGAATGCATAGGACCTTAAAACGAAGAGTAAATAGTGTTCAGATATATTACTTAAATTTTGTATTTAGACCTTTTCAAAAGTCATATCGGAAAACAACAAACATCTTGTAACCAACTTAAAGTTTTGATGCATCCTTCTCAAATGAGACAGTGGGACTACTGGCCTGTAAATCACCAGCGTATGATGACTTGTTCTACAGGGCACTGCAAGAATGGTCGGTACTTCCCATGGTCAATGTTGGGAAGGTACCTCCATGAAAGAGCCTTCTGCTTCACTGCTAATTTAATGACTCCATGCTTCAATCCAATCCCAATTACAAAAACAAAAACCACCCTGACTTATATACTCCAACATTTCATATTGCAATAACTGTCTTCCTTAGGTTGTAGCCAAGATGAAAACACTTTAGCCAAAATGATTTGACAAATAAAACTTATTTTTTTACGAGTAAAGAATCAAGTGCCTAGGAGAAATGTACTTCTGTTTGAAGGAATGCTTTTCATATGGTGTTTTATGTCTGAAATGCTTTTCTGACATTATTTTTACATTTATACCTTCTACTGGATGTTCAAACATATTACCTAGTTAATTAAGTCTTTTTGCAATTTTGTAATGCCTGTTTACAGAGTGACACCTAACAGCAGTGACATATGAGGCTTTTAGTCATGACCAAATGGGTCTCAGTATATACAGAAGTAAAATTTCTAAAAATAACAATGTCCTAAATCAAAGAATGTCTTCTGTTTTTTTTGGTGATCACTAAGAATGGAAACATAAACAAAGATTGAATTTCATCCCCAAATTGGCAAATGAGTTATCCACACACATGC